GGCGGCGGCCAGCACCGGCTGCCGGGAGCCGCCGGGCCCCCCGAGGGCCGCCGCCGTCCCCTACTTCGGCATCTCCGTGGACCAGGACGACATCCTGCCCGGCGCCCTGCGCCTCATCCAGGAGCTGCGGCCGCATTGGAAGCCTGAGCAAGTTCGGACCAAGGTAGCGGATCGGGCGCGGGGCCGGGGATGGGCCCTGCCCGGGCTGCGTCGGGGCCGCGGGGATGGGTGGACGCCTGTCGGTGCATCCTTCCGGGTGCAGGTCCCAGGGGAGCGCGGCTGCTGCGCCGGAGAGGCTGGGAACCTGGTTCATGTGCGTATTTATTTCTCCAGCTATTTTGGTTCCTAAGCAAAGCTAGGCTCACCCCTCCCTCTGCCCTCCACACACACCCCTCCGCCTGGGGCTCTGGGGCACGCCGGAGGTCCACCTGCCCACTGTCAGCATGCTGCGCGTGCGGGCCCCACCCCCTGTCGCTGCGTGCGGGTGCCCCTCGCTGCCCAGAAGCGCGTGCCCAGCCGACTCAGAAACCTGAGGAGGCAGGAACTTTTAAGGGCCCCCTCCCCCAACACACACACACACACACACACACTCACACACACACACACTCTCTCACACACACACACACACACACTCACACACACACTGCTGCCGCTTCTCCACCCCGTGGGGGGAGCAAAGCCTTCGGGCTGGCTCTAAGCCGCCCCTGTGGGCCTCAGGAGCCACCCTGAGGGTCTCCAGCTAGCTTGGAGCCCCTCACCAACGCTGAAGGCTCTGGTTCAGCGCCCCCCACACAGGGGCCTTCCCCACCCCCAGTTGGCCACATTCTCCAGACACACCTGTGGGCTGAGGCTCCCATGAGGAGCACCAGGTGGACTCCCCAGTTGATCTGCATTCTCTGAAAAGAAGCCTTCGTCTGTGCACCCGTCCCCACCCCTCTCCCCTCTCCCGCTGCCTGTGGAGGAAGGTGCCCGGTGGGGTGCTGCAGCTTATGCTGGAGTGGTAAGGGTTCCATGCCGATGGACTTTTGAGTGGGGACAGGCAAAGTTCTAGGGAGGTTCGGAACCCAGTGTGGAGGCTGACAGATCTCTCCTGGGGAGAGGTAGTGTTTTAAAAATAAGAGGCCCGGTTTGGTGTAAGACTGTTAAGGCCTCAAGCAGGCTTGAGGTTAATTCCAGCACTGACCTAACATTCCACCCGCCAGCCCCTGCCCTCTCTGGGCCCCATTTCCCACCTAGAATTGGTTCAGATATCCTCTAAGGCCCCTTCCAGCTCTGTCCATTGTGCCACATAAATTCCACAGTTCCTTCCATCTTATCAACCTGCCCCAAAAGCCTGCGCTCCCTGCCCAGTTGTCTCTTGTCTCTTCTGGTATGGAACTCAGAGACCCTAAGGACCTCTGACCACCAAATTGTTGGGATGGGGCCAACTTCAGTACCTTCCTTGTACCTGTGCCGCTGGATGGGGCACGAGGTAAGACAGAGCCCTCTGGTAGGTAGCGAGATGCAGCTGATCAGGGTATATTGTTCTGCGCAACTCCCTGACCTCCTCTGTCACATTTTGGTCCATGAGGGTTTCTTTCAGGGCCAGGATGGAGGAATAAGGAGAGGGAGGGGGCTCTACCCACCAAGTAGTGTGGAAATTTCTCCACTGCCAAATCTCATCCACTAGAGTCCGACCCAGGAGAAGTGAGTGTGCCTGGGTTGAGCCCAAGCTGCCATTTTTTCCTGAACTCGCTATAGAGTAGAGACCCCCAAGGTTGGGGACTGGATAGAGCATGAGTGACAGGGCTAAAAGGCTGGGGATCTGTGTGGATGTGATCAGCATTCAAATGAGCACATCCTGCTGAAGCTGGGAACCCTAGGGAGAGACCAGAGAGATCCTGCCCCACCCACCCACGCGCCGCCCTCTCCCCGTGCTAGCGCTTCACTGATGGAATCACCAACAAGCTGGTGGCCTGCTACGTGGAGGAGGACATGCGGGACTGCGTGCTGGTCCGGGTGTACGGGGAGCGGACGGAGTTGCTGGTGGACCGGGAGAGTGAGGTCAGGAACTTCCAACTGCTTCGGGCACATGGCTGCGCCCCCAAACTCTACTGCACCTTCCAGAATGGGCTGTGCTACGAGTACATGCAGGGTGTGGCCCTGGGGCCCGACGACATCCGTGAGCCCCAGCTCTTCAGGTGAGGATGCTGCCAGGGGACTTTTCATCTCTACTATTCCTCAGGCATGGGCTTGGAAATTCTTGGCATAGCGTGGGTCCATAGAGGAGAATCATAAAGATCTGTGAACTTCCTGAAAATTGCATGAAAACTATGTGAGTGTGTATGTGCATTGCTCTGCAGAGAGGGGTTATAGCTTTCTATAGATTTGCTGTGGGATCTGCTAGAAGGATGAGTTCTGGGAAGGAAAGTGAGAATTTTGATGAAAGTGAGAATTTTGATGAATGTGAGACCAAAGGACCTGGTTCCCTAAATGCAGCAGAGATCTGCTTCCTAACCTCCATGCCTCGAACCTCTGCCTACTCTACGTCTGACCTGGAAACCTCTCAGAGCCTTGGAAATGCAATCTGAGCCAAATCCCCAGCGTGAGACCAAAGGACCTGGTTCCCTAAATGCAGCAGAGATCTGCTTCCTAACCTCCATGCCTCGAACCTCTACGTCTGACCTGGAAACCTCTCAGAGCCTTGGAAATGCAATCTGAGCCAAATCCCCAGGGCATTCAGGGTTTCCTGCCTCTCCTCTTCTTCTGCCAAGAGCTCAGGTGTTCAAGGTAAATGGGCCCTATCCAGGTTTACCAGCCCTCCTGCTGGTCCGAGCTCCTTCTGGGCTCCCTGACAAGGTGGGAACCCTGGTTGGGGAGCTTCCACAGGCTTACAAGAACCCATGGACCCCGGGGAGCCCCTCCCAGTAAATGCCTGCATCTGTTGGGCCCAGGAACTGACTTAAGCGTCAAGCCCTGTGGATGCAGGTGTGGGGCCTGGAAGGGTGAAAACCAAAGAAGAGCCCCTAGTGTACTCACTCTCCTCTGGCTGTACCAAAGCAGGGATATCAGGGTATCCTCCTCATTCCTTCCAATGCCATGACCCACGTGCCTGTAGTCTGAGAGCACTCAGAGTGTAGTGAGGCTCGAGGCAGGCCGAGGTGTACTGCTGATGCTGGGGACAGCAGTGCAGGGGTCTGCCTAGGATCCCTGGCATCTGCCCTGTCCAGTCCAAGGGGAAGGGGACTTCCGCATACTGAAGGGAAACAATGAAGCCTGCCTGGGGGCAGACCAAGAAGCTGCTCTGCCGCCTTACCCTCCAGCCAGTTAACTGCAAGTAAGCACACCTGTCATAGCACCCCTGAGCTGGTCCTCCAGAGACTTAGCAGAAGGGAAGCTGAGAGTCCCTCCACCCCCATGCTCTTGAGCGCTGCCTCTGGGGCTGCCAGGGCCCAGTTGTGTATTGTAGCTGGGTGTGTGTGCGTGTCTGGGGAGAATGAGGGGCATACACACCTGTGCGGGGGGTCTTCTCAGGCCTGGAGATGTGAAGTCAGAGCAGGGTGCAGGGGGCCCCGTCCTGGCATCTCCCACGGCACTCCACCCAGCTCTCCATCAGTCTTGTGCAAATGAGCTCCAGAACCGGCAGATCCTCGCCACCCAGGCTCCCTTCCCCGCTGGGAATCGGATGCTGTCACTCATCCTCTCGTGGAAACAATTATTGTTGTCGGGAAGATTGAAGATGGAGCGAGGTTCCATAAGAAGAACTCAGCATTCGGGGCAGAGCCAGAAATTGGGATAGGTGTAGGAGGCAGGTCCTTCCTTGATGGTTTTCCCAGGGTAGACCATTATCCCTCTGGGTGAAGGTGCAGGCCTGACGGGAAGGCCTCAGGGAGCACTCTCCCTGTGTCCCCCTGAACCCCACCCCCCAGCCTCTGCCTGTTGAGGCTTTGCAGCATAAAAATGCTGAGTGTTGAGTTTACTTTCATTGCTATTCCAGACAACAGCCCTATTGATATTCAAGGAAATGCTCTGCTCATGCTCTGTTCAGAATCTCCTTTGGGAAGGGAAGGCCTGGTCTCAGGTCTGTTTCCTTGCCTTGCCCAAACCCTGGCGGGCTCTGTCCTGCCCCAGGGCCCCTGGCCTCTGAAAGCAGGCCTTCCTCTCTAGCCCACGTGGTTGCTGCCATGTCCCCTGTCCCCTCCACCCTTTAGGAGGTGGGAGCCTTGGGGGCCTCCGGAGGAGCCCCAGAATTGCCCTGTTATCCCAATGGAGCATGGCCTGGCCCTTTCTAGGACCTGGCAAGGGGCGGGGGTATCCCTGGAAGAACTAGGTAACAAGGTTTCAAAAGCCAATGCCTTTGTTTTCTTTCCCAGTGATTATTATTCGAGCAACAGGCAGAGGCGAAGGAAGCTTGAATGTTGGAGGCCTGACAGGCGGTTGGGGGTGGGGCTGCAGAAGGGAGGGCTAGCAGAGGACCTGGAGAGCCCAGCTGGGACATGGGACATCAGGCTGGGCTGTGATGGGATCCTTATCAAGGCCCTCCCTCTCTAACTAGTCAGCCCTTCATCTGCCCCCACCATCCTCCAGCAACTTTCCCTACCGCCCACTCCTCCTCTCCCAGGACCTTGGATAATGTCCACAGGAGAACTTGAAAATAGAACGCTGGTTTGTTTTGCGTCCTTGGCATTTAGCTGCCAGCATCGACTCCCTGTGGCTGAGGAAGGGGCTGCCCCATGCCAGCCTGTTTCCCTCCCCACCTTGGCCAGGCTGATAAGAGGCGGGCATTTCTTCCCTGCCTGGCATCACCACCCCCTGATCTCTTGGTGAAAGTGACCTGCGTTTACCTCCCCCGAGAGGATGGGTCAGAGTCCAAGGGGATGAGGGGTACCGCCCCCACCCCCAGGTGCTCCTGTGTTCTCAGGGGTTGCTATGGGTACACTGGGGTGGGGCACAGCCATTGACCTGTGGCCAACAGCCCACTGCTTTGCCCTTCTGCTACCCGAAGCAGCCCCAGCTCTGGTACTGGAAAGGGAGCTGCTAGGCTAATGGTCTTATTTCATTTTCGTGCCTTCTGCTGAGACCTCCCTCTGCAAGACCTAGTGCTCCTAAGAGACTTGTAATCCTCCCACATTAGGCCTTCGGCTGGTGCCCAGATGGACGCTGTAGGGCCCCTTTCTGGTCAGGAGGGGCTGAGCAGGGAGGGCATGCCCTGACACTGACACTGTCTACTCCTCCTGTTTTCTGCTGTAGGTTAATCGCCTTAGAAATGGCAAAGATTCATGCTATCCATGCCAACGGCAGCCTGCCCAAGCCCACCCTCTGGCACAAGATGCACAATTATTTCACGCTTGTGAAGAACGAGATCAACCTCAGGTATAAAGATCTGGGAGGGTCCGAGGCTGCCACGGTCTCTCCTGCCTTAATGTGATCTCCGCTCCCCATTCTCTTGGCTCCAGCACACTTTTACAGGAGGTTTAGGGGCATAGGTCCTGGGGTGGAGGCTGCAGAGTTTCTCCTGTGGCCCCTTCTGTCTTGATTGCTTAGCCTCTGTCTCCCTGCAGAGTTGGGCCGATTGACTAAATCTCAAAAACTTAGAGCAGCAGTTTTATACCTATGTGCTTATTTCTCCTTGAGTCTTCTGAGTGTGGCAGGGACTAGGGTCAGGGACAGCATCTCCCCATTTCATTTAAAGGATACTGAGGCTCAGAGACTGAGCTTTGCCCAGAGTCATGGGCTAGTCAGAGGCAGGGTTTTGTTTCCCAGCCCAGGTCTCCTTCGCTTGAGCTGCCTTCTGAACAGTGAGAAGGCAGGACCCCCTGAGCATGGAGTAGGACTGAGTTCAGAGCCAGTCAAAAGAACTCAACTCACCAGCCAGCAAGCCCTTGGGACATCGAGGTGTCTGCTACTTGCCTGGACTCCTCTTGTCCCCAGCTGCCTTTGGGGATGGATCCTGCCCCCACCTTGTCCAGTCTGACAGCCTGCTGTTCTCTTTACTGCTCTTTCCAGGGAAGGAGGTATACACCTATCCTGGCATTGCGTTTCCCTAGATAACACGGGGTTCCCTGAACTTTTTCTTAAGCTCTCTGGCCAGAAAATGCAGAGTTCTGCTAGCCTTCAGACACCGGACTCCCCAACACACCCTGGAGTGCTGGGTAAACGGGGGAGGCATGGAGGACAGAGTGGTCTCCCTGTGCCCCACCAAAAAAAAAGGTAGTCGTGAGCCTCTGATCCCCCATGTTCTCTGCTGGGATTGAACATCACCTTTGTTCTAAATGTTGAGGAGAGTAGGGTGCAGAAGAGGCTTGACGGAAGGGTACCAACTTCCTACCTCTGAAATGACGAGACAGTAATTGACTCTGTACCGATCATGAGTGTGTCTCTGTCGCACATACGTGACATTATCTGAATCCTCCCACTTAATGATCATCAAGCACTGCTTTGGGACTATTTGTCCAGATGGCCCAAGCTTGCCCTCTCTTTGACCATGTTCAGACCTTCTATGTCAAATGTTATCTCTGGGACAAGGACTGCCTTCTCCCTTAGGACTAGATCAGCACATGGAGAACAGGACCCTCCAGTCTTCCAGTTTACTGCCTTCATTTGGCAGATGGAAAAACTGAGGCCCAGAGAGGGAATAGGATTTGTTCAAGGTCATTTGTTCAGGGACTAGAGTCCAGGCCTCTTGGTGCTCAGGCATGATCCTTGATACTGCAGCTTCTTTGGACTGTACTGTCACTGTGTAACCTTAAGGGGTAACCTTTTTGGGAGGGGAGTGGTCCCTGAAAAAGAACTGGCCAACTCTTTGCTTTTGTCACACCTTTGACCTTGGGCATATCAAGTTGCTTAGCTGCTTTGAGCTTCTTTAGGAGATAATCTGCCTAACCTGCCCAAAAGCTGGGCAATGATGAGCAACCATTTAAGCTAGAAAAAGCACCGTGAACTCCAGTCCTTGCCTAGTAACCCTTATTTATTCAGTCATCCATTTCATAAAGATTGATTGATTGATTGGGATTTAAAACAATAAAACAAAAACAACGACAACAACAAAAACAAGCATGACATTGGCCTTGCCCTCAAGGAACTTAGGAGCCATCTGGGTAAACAGGACATGCTCATGCCCAGCTACAAAAGAAGGCAGGGTGTGTGATGTATGCTGGGGGTGAGAGAACCAGGGAACTTAGTCTTCTTAGTAGAGGTGGCATGGCAGAGATAAGAGGGAGGCTGCTGCAGCTGGTGGAGGTGGCTTGAGCAAGGCTTGCTCATGTGTGGTAAGTAGAGGAAGTTGGCCGAAGCAACTTTTGGGAAGAGTTGTGGGAGATGGGGCTGCAGAGCTGAGTTGGAGCTAGATGGAGAGGGGCCTTGAATTCCAGGTTAAGGAGCCAAGATTTAATTTAGTAGGCATTGGAAAGTCATGAAGGTGTTCGAACCAGGGACTCAGAAACCCAACCAGGAATTGTAGTCTAGGAAGAAAGTTCACTAGCACTGTTAGGGATAGATTTGAGGTAGGGGGACCAGCTGGGGAAGTCTTGTAATTAAATGGACAAGATGTAGGACTAGGGTTCCCAAACTTTGAGCCTAAGATTCCTCTGGAGTGCTTGCTAAGTGCAGATTTCTAGCCCAGCCCTGCAGATTGATGGAGAGGTCTTGCCTGAAACGCCAGGAATGTGTATTTTGATAGGCTTCCCAGATGATTCCGAGGCAGATAACCCAGGAGCCACTTTTTGATAGAGGAACCACATTTTGAGGAACATTGCCTTAGGGTAGCTTCAGGAGGGATGGAGAATGGGGGAATGTGTCAGAGACTTGTGGGAATAGACTTGGTAGCCTTGGCATTGGTTGGACATGGAGGTGTCCAGGGTGCTGGGAGAGTGAAGGGCTGATTGATGACTGACTGAGGGGCATCAAGAGGAGATTCTGATGGGTGGCTGATGGAAGGCAAAGGTGATAAGCGAGTGAGCTCCAACACTTAAGACAGTCCCTGTGGGGAGGAAGCACTTCTGCCTGCCCAGATGCTCAGAGCTGCATGGAGACTTGCCAGGGAGCCGTCCCTTCATCAGGAGGAAAGCTACGGCATTCCTGGGGAGCCCCTCAGCCCCTACATCCCCCGCATCCCCCAACCCCCTCACTGTCTCTGAAGGGTGGAGGAGCAAGCCTCCTTGTTCTTATTTTTTGATGGTGTCAGTCCAAGAAAAAAAAAGAATCTTAAAAGAAGAGGTGGCTTCTTGAGGAGACCCAAGATTGAAGATACCTTAGGCTGATTTGTCAACACAAACTCCAGTGAGGGTGAGGGGAGGCCTCCCCCATGTCACCCTTCCCAGCAGACCCCCTGGACTCAGAGGCCTTTGCAGGGCCTCTGGGGACACCAAGGCCTTCAGGGAGCATGCACAGCCCTCACAGTTGGGAGACTCGGCTCAATTTTGGATCTTCAGACAAGTCCAGAACTGCTTTCTCCTTAGATGAGGAAGTAGAGGATCCAGCTGTGCAAGAGATACCTGGAGGCTGGAAGGAAGCCTCCTTCCTTGAGCCTCAGTTTCCCCATGGGGTTGGACCAGATGACCTAAGATCCTCTTTAGCTTTGACCTTCTCAAAGCCTGGGAGGGAGCCTGCCCACCCCTCCTTTTGCAGAGGAAGTTGCTGAGTACTCTTCCCCGTGTCTGGCCTCTGGAGTGGGTGAGGCACTGTCTGGCCGTGGGAAGTGAGAGAGGGCACATCTCATTCTCATCTTCCTTTACGTGCTCTTGCCCCCCTGGACAAAGAAACGCAAACAGGAAATGCATGAATGGAGATCAAACCCCAGCCTCCTCCCTTCTCCTCATTGGTGGTTCTGAGTTTTTAAGGACTGTGTTATTTGGCTTTTCTAATGTACACAGACCTGTGAGCATCGTGGGGACCAAAGTCCAGAGCATGCAAGCACGGTGTGCCCTCGCCACATTTCCACATGGCCTCTCATAACTTCATTGATTGACCAGTTCATTCATCCCTCAACACATGTTTCAGCAGAAATGGCTGCTGTGTGCATGGGATAGGAGTGGGGCAGAAGGAAAGGTGGGCTCTGTGTGTGCTCCTGCCCTCGAGTTGCCCAGGCGTGATCTGGCAGGGGTCAGGGACAAGGTCATAATTCAAGGCGGAAGGGATGAGTTGTTGGGGAGTGGTAGAGCAAGTGTCACTTTGAAAGGACTTAACATTCCTTGGCATTGATTGGAGAGTGAGCCCAAGACACACAGTTTGCTTCCTTATGTGGTCTGCCTGTGAGATTGTCTCTTTCACCTGTGACATTGTCAGCTGTTAGCATGTGAGGGAGACACACTCGGACTTGCCTCTGCCTCCTCAAGAGAACTCCATGGCTCCAGCCCCTCCCAGGGCACTATGATTCCTTCACGGGAGGAGTGTTGGGGGAGAGTCTCATCGGAGACAGCTACACCTTCTCCCAGGGATCCTGGCAGCCTAAGGTCAGGTCTGTTTGACATCTCTCCCCACAGCCCCTGTTGCCCTTGTCTCTCTTAGTCTGGACACCCATTCTCGCCTCGCCTGTGCTTTCCCTGTTCCTCTTTTTTTTTTTTTGTCTTTTTTCCGTGTCCGGCAACGGATCGCAACCCTCAGTGTCGCCCCCGTACTGGACCGGGACCAGCAACGGGATTGCAACCCTCGGTGTTGCCCCCGCGCCTCGCTCAGCCAGTGAGTGGGAACCGGTCTGTATGTGGGATCCGAACCCTCGGCGGGAGCGCCTCTGCGCTTCCGAAGCGGCGCACTAGCGCAGTGCGCCACCGGGCCGGCCCCCCGTTCCTCTTTCTAACCTGCTTATCCCTTTCACAAAGCAGCAGGGAAGCCATTTGGTCAGTGACTCTTATGCTCTGCCGAATGCTTTTATGTCCACGTTTTAACCAGCTTCTCGGTGCAACCATAGGATTCAAAAGGACAGGAAGCCTTAGTGCCATTTTACAGATGACAAAGGTCAGGGTCTAAAAGGTTGGCCATTTGTTCGAGGTCCCTCTGCAGTAAGAGGGAATGAGGAGGCGAGAGCCAGGACCCTCAAGGCCATGGACTTGCCTGTCCACCGTCATCCCTCCCTTCACTTGCCGCCTTTTTGCCCCTGTCCAGCCTTTCCAAAGATGTCCCTAAGGTGGATGTGTTGGAATGGGAGCTGGCCTGGCTGAAGGAGCACCTGACCCAGCTGGATTCCCCTGTGGTGTTTTGTCACAACGACCTGCTCTGCAAGAATATCATCTATGACAGCACCAAAGGTATGGCCTCTCTGGCCCTGGCCAGGCAGAAGCAGGGTTTGGGACAGTTGGTCAGCTGGCTTTTGGGGCCTTTTCCTCAGGCTGGCACTTGGACAAGCAAAGGGAGACCTGGGTTTAGGTCTTAAGTTAATTTGTAGGAGAGAAGGGGAAAACAAAATACGAAATTCCCACTTAAAAAAATTTATGCCAAGAAAGAACTCAGAGTTATGGTTTGTGGAGGTCCTCAACCTTAGGGCACCCAAGCCATTCCTCCTGACAACTCTTTGGGCTTCTGAGGACATTGTAGCTGCCCCAAGCCTTCCGAGAGAGAGAACCTCCAGTGTTCTTGAGGAGAGTACTTTTATTACTGACCGTTAGCCATGCTGAGGACCTAGATGTGTGAGAAGGACAGTCGGAGCTGGAAGAGGGGCAGATGGACAAATGGACAGATGCAAGGAAGTAGCCTAGAAGATTGCTGCAAGGTTGGGTCAGGCCGGGTTGCTGCAGAGGCCAGCAGCACTCAGTGGGTGCATTCCGGAGATCTGCAGGAGCTTGACCAGGCCTTATTTCCACATCTCCTGGGACCAGCCCTCATGGTCTCTTTTCTGCCTCATAGGTCACGTACGGTTCATTGACTATGAATATGCCGGCTACAACTACCAAGCTTTTGACATTGGCAACCATTTCAATGAGTTTGCAGGTGAGAGGGCCATTCCTATTTGTCCTGTGTCCAAGGTACCCTCCTTATGATGGGGGCCAGGTCTGAGGGGAGGGCCAGAGGTGGTTCTGTACTTGGAGGGTGAAGGCCAGCTAGCCCCTGTCCTTTGAAATATCACAGCTCCAGGGGGGAAGGCACAGACTGCTTTTAGAGAACTCCAAGTCTCGGGGTTTGCGGGGGCAGGACCCACATCCACAGAGCAGACCTCTGCTAGCCTACATAGCAGTTCACTACAAATTAATAAAATGCACCCTCTGTAGGATCCCCGAGGATCCTTGGCTTGGCCTGTGAATTAGAAGAAGACCCCTTCCTCTGGGCAGACAACCCATACCAGTTTGACCAGCACCACACAGGATGACTTCAGCCTCCAGTTGCTCTCTTATCCAAACTCCTTTAAGCCCAGTGTAACCTGCATACCTGTACATGAGGGCCCTGCATGTAGATAAGGAGCAGAAAAGCTGTAGTAGCTGTTTACCTGGTGGCCTGATGAGAATAATCCAGGTGGAACTAGTTAAAAGTGTGTACTATGCAACTTGACTCCCTAAGTTCAAATCCTGGCTTTGCTGCTTACTAGCTGTGTGACCCTTAGGCAGGTTACTTACGCTCTCTGTGCCCCTGCAAAATGGAGATGATAAGGGTACCTACTTCACAGTCCTGATATGAAATACACACACAGATGTATGGCACATACTAAGCATCTTGTTGGTGTTTGTTGCTGCCATTAGGCGGGGAAGCTTTTCTGCAGAAGCTAGGGAGACTGGAACAGGAGTGGAAGGGGTTGGATGAGGGGAGTGATTCCTATGGGTGGGCAATTATTCTATCCAGGCACGGTATGTACAGTAGAACCATTTGTGTGAAGGAGGCAGGGCAGGTTTTTCCACTTGAGGGTTTAATTGTTACAATTAGATGGAACTGAGGAAGCAAGTCATGGATGGAGCTGGACACTGGGGCTGGAGGGACATGCACAGACCAGCAGTGTGAGGGGGCTCAGCATCATGTGGCCAGCCCCTGTGACTTAGGATAGGTGAGGCACACCCAGGCCACCTGCAGAGCCACCCCCGGCCCAGCTTCAGCCACTCCCTAGCCCAATCCAGGCCAATCTTGCTCCTCTTGGCACCCCAGGTGACCAGGTCTATCAAGCACTGATTGTACCTGAGGGTACAACTCCCCAGGGCAGCCACCAGCTGCACCTAAGAACCACATGGGATGATGGGGCCTCAGCTGAGCAGAGCAGCTGAGCTGTGGGGTGGGGCCAGAACAGGCTGGCACCGGCAGGGCACTGTGCCTGAGAATGCTTGGCTGCTAGGGCAGCTGGCCTTTCCAGAAGGGATAATTCTTAAGCATTTTAAGTCCTTCTCACCCACCACACAGAGCAAAGTCCAACTGGAATTTCTCCAAAGGGGCAGATCGCATCCTGCTCCTAAGTTGAGAATGGTGGAGGAAGAACCTGGCATGGGGGAAAAAAGAGGGCAGGAGAGATTAGGAGCTGAGGAGAGGGACTTCCTGGGTTCTCAGGAGTGGGGAAGACACAGTATTGGGTGTTGGGAGATGGGGGTTCCAACTCTGATCCTGCCTGTAACTGGCCGTGTGACCTACAAATTTCTTCTGTCTGGGCTTTAGTTTCTATATCTCACAAGGAGATTCTTTTCCAGCCATACTCTTGGGGCCTTGGGAGGCTGAGTGTGTTTCTCCAGGGATATAAGGAAGCTTGGGAAAGACAGAAAGAAAAGAAGAGGGAGGAAGAGTCACTGGAGAAGGTGGCCCAGTCCTGGTCCCGTCTTAAATAAGCCATTTCTTTCTGTACCTGCTCTGAAGCCATGGTCTCTATCACCGTGCCCAGGATGTGGCTGGCAGTACTGGGCTGGCAGCTTGGGGACTCCTAGAAAGGTGGGGCTGGAAGAAATCAGAGCCATCTGATGCATGGGTGCCAAGCTTGGCTGCCTATCAGAATCATCTGGAGAACTGGACGGGAGTGGGAGTGCTCTCTGGGTGACTTTTTTGATTAGCCAGCTTAACACCAGTCCAAGAAACAATGTTTGACAGTCATCCATTAAGCCCAGCTCCCTCGTTTGATAATGAAGAAACGTAGGTCCGGGAGAGGAAAGGGCTTGTCCAGGGTTAACTGGAGGTTAGATGAGACTAGCAGTGCTGATTTGGGGCTTTAACTGAGTGCCTCCTGTGTGCCATCGCTTTGTACAGGGCAAAGGAGATACAGTAGTGCTGTCTTGGGCTTCCCCATGGAAGCAGTGCCCCCAGCTGGGATGGGTGTAGACCCCCCTCACTAGCTACGTTTGGTGGTCTTCTTGCACTTCCAAGACCACCCCGCAGGTCAAAGGAGATGGGAGCTTCAAGGGGAGAGGGAATACCTCCTGAGCTCGAGGTGGGCCCATCTCCCAGTGCCTTCTGTCTGGCCTGCCCCCATCAGGTGTGAATGAGGTTGATTACCGCTGGTACCCGGCGAGGGAGACCCAGCTGCAGTGGCTGCACTACTACCTGCAGGCACAGAAGGGGATGGCCGTGACCCCCAGGGAGGTGGAGAGGCTCTACGTGCAAGTCAACAAGTTTGCCCTGGTGAGTGCTTGGAGTGGGAGGGGACAAGGGAAAGGAGGAGCGAGGAGGAGGGACTCCCGACCCACCGCCAGCCTCCTACGCAGAACCCAGGGTCAGGTGTGACATCCTGGGAACACCCATCATATGCTCCTGAACCCCACCCTAGAGGTGAGGTCTGGGAAAGCCAATCTTGGGCATCCCCTTAATACTATGATGTCCTGTCCCCTACTCCCTGTGACCTATCAAGTCTAGGTTTTCTCTTTTCTAGAGAAATACTTCCAAGAAACATCCAGCTTCCTATTTTAGCAACTCTCTTATTTGATGAGTACTTCCTCCTGCTGTCTGACCTCAGCCCTTCGTACTGCAGTTACACTCGTCCTTTTTCTTTTCTTTCCTTTTTTTAAGCCTTTGGAGGAGCTAGTGTCAGGCTCTGTGACCACCTCCACTGACTCAGAGCTCTGTGCAAGCCTTTCCCACAGGCTCTTCCCACTGTCACTTGTGACTGTGCTATCCGTTCTCAGTTTTGAGTGCCACTTACCAAAGGTACATGGTTCATGCCAGGTTTCCACTGGCGTGTTCCCAGGGGATTGCTAACTAGTCTTACTGATGTCAGCCATGCATAAGCCAGAAGACAAGTCGACTGCCCTGAATTTCACTATACATAATAGAGCTAAATAAAATCTTTACTTTTCTGTGATTTCGGATTGTCTATTCTATTTTTCTCATTGGCACAAAACTGCCTCTGTGTTAGGCTCTTGCTTTTTGGTGTTCCACCTGATGAACAAGCCTTCCTCTTGCCCCTTTTAAGTCATGAGAAGGGAAGAAAGTGCAAGGAGCTACTTTGTAGCCAATCCCTCAGTGAGCAGGACTTTGGGATGGGGTGGGAGAGCCCTGAGGGTCGCTTTTTGGTGTTCCACCTGATGAACAAGCCTTCCTCTTGCCCCTTTTAAGTCATGAGAAGGGAAGAAAGTGCAAGGAGGTACTTTGTAGCCAATCCCTCAGTGAGCAGGACTTTGGGATGGGGTGGGAGAGCCCTGAGGGTGGAGGACCTTTGCTTGAGAAAGCGACATCAGTAGTGTTTGTTCGGGGGCAGCTGGAGCCACACCTCTCATGCTCCTTGAGCTTTGGGTGACCTGGGCTTTGTGGGCACCTCTGGCTACAGCGAAGACACAGTTTAGTGCACAGTAAATGCCCACTGGGGCTTCTTGTGCCCAGGTCTAGACTCATTTTCCAACCAACAGGCCTCCCGGTAGAAGAGAAGGGAGCGGGTGGAGGTCTGTTTCGAGGGCCTTCCAGCAGACCAGACCCCTGGCGACCACGTGGCCGGGGCACTGCTGCCCTCACTCTTCTCCTCTATCTCCCTACACCCCGCTGGGGAGGACCAGCCTGCTACTGGCCACCAGGCCTAAACTCTAGCTTAGGGATTCACCTCGGCCTGGATGCCATGGCCTTGACGACTCCGGGAGGTTTGCCTGGGTAGGGAAGAGGCTCTACCCTGGCTTCAAAGTATTCACACCCTTTAGAGAAATGCAAATCAAAAGTATACCGACATGTCACCTAGTACTACTTAGGATGGCTGCTATCAAAAAAACAGGTGTGTGTGTGTGTTTTAATTTTCTTTATGGAAAAATGGACAAAAAAATAGAGAAGTATTTAACTGCAATAAAATGGCCCCATGTGGCAAAAACAAAACAAAACAAACAAACAAAGAAAAACAGAAAATAAGTGTTGGCAAGGATGGGGAGAAATTGGAACTCTTGGGCACTGCTGTTAGGAATGTAAAATGGTGCAGCCACTATGGAAAACAGGATGGTGATTCCTCAGAAAATTAAAAATAGAATCACCATATGATCCAGCAATCCCACTTCTGGGTGTATATCCAAGAGAAATGAAAGCAGGGTCTCAAAGAAATATTTGCACACCCATTTCATAGCAACATTATTCACAGTAGCCAAGAGATGGAAGCAACCCAAACATCCATTGACAGATGAATGGATAAATCAAACGTGGCACATACAACCATAGAATATTACTCAGCCTTAAAAAGGAAGGAAATCCTGCCACCTGCCACACCATGGATGAACCTTGAGAACATTACGCTAAGTGAAACAGCCAGTCACAAAAAGACAGATATGGATAAATCAAACGTGGCACATACAACCATAGAATATTACTAGCCTTAAAAAGGAAGGAAATCCTGCCACCTGCCACACCATGGATGAACCTTGAGAACATTACGCTAAGTGAAACAGCCAGTCACAAAAAGACAGATACCTCATGACTCCTCATGTAAGAGGTAACGAAAGTCGTCAAATTTATAGAAACAAAGTAGATCGGTGGTTGCTAGGGGCTGGGGAGAGGGGACATGGGGAGTGGTGTTTGACAGGGGCAGAGTTTCAGTTTTGCAAGGTGAAAACGTTGTGGAGATTCACTGGACAGTGTGAATATACTTAACACTACGGAACTGGAAAAACAAACAAAACACAAACAAAAATGTTTGCAGAAGGGGTTGCTCCAGTCTGATCTAAGATGAAAAGATTATAGTTGAAGGAAAAAAATAAAAATAAGAAAGTCAGCTGGGCTGGGGTTGACCTGCCCGGTGGACTTGGCACCGACGAGCAGCTTTCCTCAAGCTGCGAGCCCCCCGCAGGGCCCACCTAGACCCCTTTTCATTCGCAGCTTCCTTCCCTGTCTTCCGGCAGGTACGCCGTGATCCGATTCAACCAGTACTTCAAGGTGAAGCCTCAAGTGTCGGCCTTGGAGATGCCAAAGTGACCGGCCTTGCCATCCGCCCACTCAACTGCTTGGCCGGGCCTGTTCTCCAGGGCTCAGTTCTGCTCTGAGGTCCACCCTCTTGGACAAGGTGGGAGAGGGGACAGGTGGGTGTCCAAGGAGAAGGTTCTGTCCCTGCCACCAGCACCCAATGGATGCCACTGAAGACCTCATTCTCCTGTGTGGAGGGGCTGATAGGACCCAACTCTGGGGGTCCCCTTCACCATATCAGGCTTGGAAGGAAGTGCCTGCAGACAGCCAGGGCCTGGACCATAACCACCCCTGGGAAGCACACCGTTCCCAGCCCCAGGCCCTGCTGGAATTTGGGCTGCCTTAGATGTGTCTTTGACCCTTCCTGGACTGGGGAAGGCGGGGGGGCTCCTTTCTACCTCCAGTGCCCTGAGCCTCCAGCCCCTCTCCGTCTCCCCCTGCATGCCCCACGTGGGAGGTGCTGCACCCCAAACCAGCATCATGCCAACTCTGACAGATGGATGTACATATCTTGATGGGAGAGAGGGGGTCCAGAATTGGGCAGGACAGTTCCCCTAGCAGCTGCCTCATCTGAGACCCCTCACTTTCACTTTTCAAACCAGATACAATCAAATAACCTCTTCCCGAGCCTCAGCCTGAGAGAGCGCACCCCCTCCAGTGCCCTCGCTGCCCCTGAGTTTCTGTTCTGTCCCTCTGCAACCTGCTGGGGGGAAGGAGAGGGAGTGGGGAGGCCCCGGGCCCCCAAAGCCTGGCTCTGCTTCATGCTGTGGCTTGACTGGAAGGGGCATGGCTGGGGCTGTGGTGGCCAGAGCCAGAGCCGGCAGCCTCCTGCCTTGTTCCCTCCCTCCCTAGAACCTGTCCTTCCATCTCCACCTTCTGTCTTGGAGTTGACCCAAGATCTTCCCACCTGGGAATGACTAGTGGGAGTCAAGGGGCAGGGGGCCAGGGACCTGCAGAGCCCGGAGTGCGCGAGCTTGAGCAGGATCGAATTGCAAAGGTGCTGATTGTGCTCTGACACTCAACAACCTCCACCTCCTTTCTGCCCTCACAGATCCTTGGGGGGGGGCCCCCCCTGGCTCTGGCCCATAAAGTGATTCATTTGTAAATTATCGTGGTTTTCTGCATTAAAATGCTCGTTTCCGGACTGCTGTGTATCTGAGTGGCAATGGTGAGGGTATGACTAGTGCTCCCACGGTGAGGCTGAGATGTGCTCCACCCCCCCTTTCTGCTGTCCCCTTTGATCTATGCTGAAGTCAAGGTGGTAGCCTGCACACTAGCCCCACACCCCTGGCTCTGAAGGCTCCAGGGCACCTTGTAGACCTGGGCAGGGCTGGTGTCTTACGGAGTCTCTGCCTTTGACCATCTTGCTGGAATCAGTTGACACTGGTGGAATGCTGCTTAGAGGGAACTGGGCTGTGGATTGCAAGCACTTTGGCCACTGAGGGGCTGAACCAGTGAATCCCTGAATAGAAGTGCTCAGGACTTCTTCCTCGGTCATCTCCAGCTCCCAGCTACTGGGGGTGGGTCAGGGGGCTGCTCTGTGTGCCACCAGGCAAGGACGATTTCTGGAACCATGCTCACTTTCTCAGAAAGCCAGAGGGAGGAAAGAGCAGACACTCAAAGGTGAGGGGGGCGCCCCTCTCAGCAGCCCTGTTGCTACAGCTATACTTCTAGCAGCTGCCCCCAGAACCCCTCTGAATGTGCCCATGTCCTTTGGGGCAGCAGTGGCAACAGCAGCAGCCGCCTGCCAACCCCTCTCAGCAGCCCTGTTGCTACAGCTATACTTCTAGCAGCTGCCCCCAGGACCCCTCTGAATGTGCCCATGTCCTTTGGGGCAGCAGTGGCAACAGCAGCAGCCGCCTGCCAGGTGGACTCTAGTTGTTTGGCCTTTGCTTGCAAAAGTATTGGGGTGCCATGGCAACCACTGGAGCTGGCACCAGCAGCCAGGGCCTTCAAGGTCATGGTGATCCGGTGTAGCTGGGTCCTCTGTCAGTAGTGGCCTAGGAGGGGTGCTAATGCAGGATGTGGGGAAAGAGTTGCCCAGGCATAGGGATGGTGCCAGGGCTGGGCAGGTAGGACCCTGAGGGTCATCCACAGGGTCAGGTAGTCACAGACACGACCTGCTGTGGACTAAACAGCAGGCCCACACTCCTTGTTCCTGAGAGGAACAGAGCCACCTCTGAAGCCAAAAGCAGAGTTAACCACTCTGCCAGAGCCAGCTTTGTTTCCAGCCTCCTGGAGCTCAGATGTCACAATGTTGTGGTGACCAGGAATGGCTGGGATAGGGCCCCAGGGGACTGTCATGTGCCCTAAGGCCTTGACTAATCTGCAAGGCGAAGTTACAGGCAGAAACCATCTCAGGCCCCATCTCGCCGCCTTCTCAGAGAAAGCATTCTTAGTCCCCTAGTCCTCCAGGGAGTGGGCGGGTGGGTATGCGGGGACGGGGGAGCAGAGGGTTAGGCACACCCCTCCCTCGCAAAGCATGAAAGTCCAACCTTCTGTCCTTTCTCTGCACCCCCAGACTAACTGTACCTTTGCCCTCCTGGCTCAGCACCAGGCCCTGGAGACTCCCCAGTTTGATCTGGGCTCCACCCACTCAGGCCCTTTCCTAGACCTTCCGCAGGAGCTCCAGGCAAAGGACTCCTGGGCAGAGGTTCACCTTCCTGATGGGCTCTGACCCTCAGCCTCTGCAGAAGAGGCCCGGAGGGGGCAGAGAACAAGCTTGTGGCCCAGTCTCCCAGGTAATGACCAGGACGCTCTGTTCCTGGCCTCTCCAACCCACCTGACCCCGTCTGCCTCTCATGGGACAGGGGGTAGGGCCCTGGGGCTCCCGCAATCCTAAAAGGATGCAGGGCCCGCACTCTGTCTCAGCCTCTGGAATGAGACCAGCAGGACAAGGGTCCCTGGAGTCGGGTGTGGGCAGCGCTGGCTGTGGGCCCCGAGGCCACAGAGGGCCTGAGGATAGGGAAGCAGGAGGAACTCAGGACTGGCAGGCAGTGTGAGGGTGAGCCAGGCCGGGGGAGTCCTGAGGAGATTGCCCGGATCTGGTTTGGAAAGGGGGACGTTGTGTGGGAGGAGACGGATGGTGCAGGTTGAAATTAGCGGCTCTCCCTCGTGACCACCAGGGGGCAGGCTCTGTTCCCCACGGCCCTGACATCTTTTCCAGACGTGACTTGGGGAGGGCAAGGGACAGGAGGCCCAAAGGTCTGAGGATGAACTGGGAGAAACCAGCAGGCCAGCAGCAGGATGCTCCCCAGATTACATGGCCGGCCCCTCAATTCTTGGGGAGTTTCTTTTCTTTTTTTTTTTTTTTCCTTTTTGTCTTTTTTCGTGACCGGCAACGGATCGCAAGGGGGGGGGGGGGGGGGGTACCAGACCGGGACTGGCAACGGGATCGCAACCCCCGGTGTTGTGCCCGCACCTCGTTCAGCCAGTGAGCGGCCGGTCTGTATGTGGGATCCGAACCCTCGGCGGGAGCACCACCCCGCTCCCAAGCGCCGCACTGTAGCAGTGCGCCACCGGGCCGGCCCATTGGGGAGTTTCATTACCACACCCTCCCGAGTTTGTGGCCCTGGATCCAACCACACTTACCTTCACTCACTCCCACCCTCTCCAATTTCGAAATTCCCCTGCTAGTATTCAAGAGCCTGTGCTTGAATTCTTCCTGTGTTGAGAAGTTCACTCTACTTTTGAACATCTTTGTTGAAAAATTGTTCTTTATGTTAAGCCGAAATATTAACCCTCAATATTTTCATCTAAGAGTCCGAGTTCCACGTCATGAGCTGGATGGAATCTCTATACTCCTGCCCACCTGGCAGTGTGGGTGAAAGCAATCTTGTCCTTTCTGCCCTATCCTAGTCCTTCCTGGACTAAACAACCCTGGCCCTTGTGACTGTTCCTCTAGGGACATGTCTACCAGGATCCCTCCAGTCCGCCTCCATGCAGGGTGCCTCCTTCTGGGCCCCTCCAGTGTGACAGTGGCCTTTTCTGGTGAGGGGGCTGGGAAAGGCATGATGTATGCACCTGGGACGAGACCAGCATGTGGGGTGCACGGGACCAGCACGCCTCTGTTGTGAACACAAGCCTCTGTTGATCTAGCCCAAGTCTGACTCACAAGAACTGCCATTGAGCTTTGTCGCCCCCATTCCACATTGAGGGGATTGATTTTTTAACCTCGGGAGTTGTCTTTTTATAGATACTCGTTAATATGCATTTTGAAGAGTTTCAGTCTGTCATACAGCTCTTTCAGGCCTATTATTTCTCCTACTTTGATACCTAGGTCTTGGAAATCCTCATTCAAAGCCCAAGGTCATAGATAGCTCCCTGAAGCATATCATTAGAGACCTGCCTCATTAATTAGTATCCTGGGGGGGGGTGCCTCATAAATGGGCTTTGCAGTGTCTACGGGGGCCCTTTTCTGGGATGAGGCTCCACAGCTTTCATTAGATTCTCAGAAGGTTCCTTTTCCGAAAGCGGACAAAAACATGGATAAAGTTTAATCCCCTTGTTTTCCGATGAGGGCTATGAGGCTCAAAAAGGGAGACGTGACAGCACCCCCCCCCCCCCAGGGCAGGTGGATAGTTCTGGGGAGAACCCGAGCTACCTGACTCCTATTACAGTGCCCTTCCACTGCCTTCATTCTCAGGACCGGGGTGAGTGCACCTCACGAGGCAGGGGCAGTGCCTTATTCAGGGCGGGCTGTGGTGGGCATGTCACTCCTGGCCAGGCTTGGCCTGGGCCTCCTTTGCTTGAACTGTTTCCTCCCAGGCCCCACGCCTGACACTCCCTCAGGCTGCCACCAGGGGGCAGTGGTGCCAGGCTGGTGGCCTGTTTAGGAATTCTGGACTCAGGCCAGCCCCCCTCCTCCCCGCACAAGAGCCAGATTCTGAAATGGTCTGTCTTTATTATGCCACCAGAAAACAGGAAAATCCCCCGAGTGTAAACAGGAGAAATGTGCTGGTTAAGTTAGTCATCATTATCTTATTATTAACAAAATAAAGCACTATCTATGTTTACAGTCATAAAAAATGAAACAGCCTGGAGAGAAGTGGCTTTGGGGAGGGGAGGGACAAGATGGGGGGGCAGGCACAGACTCCACATCTGGCCCTGTGGGATTTGGGGTTCCCCTCCCGCTCTGATCCAAGGGCTGTTCCGGGTCTTTGGAGTTAGGTGCCAACGGGAATTTGATTTCCTTAGGGAAATAGCCTGTGAAACCTATCAGGAGCTTAGAGTGGTTCCCTAGTGGAGAGTGGGGGGAGGGGAGGGCAGGCGGGGGAGGGGCAGGACCAGGTGGGAGAGGATGAAGCCAGAGGCTTCTCTTCACCAGCCCCTTCCAGGAATGGGGAGCCCCCCACCCGACCCATGAGGGAAGAATGGAGCCCAGCTACCATGGGGAGCCCCCTCTCCAGGGTCTCTGTCACGGACAGGAAGGGGGGCACCATCAATACTCCTGCCCCCACTCCTGGGACTCCGGTTGGGACCAGGGGCTGCGGCACCAGGACAAAACCCCCTGGCAGCAGAGGCACATTCCCATGCTGCTCAGAGCTAAAAAGGGCTTCGTGGGAGCCAACTGGCAGAGTCAGGGAGGGAGTGAAGGGGTGAGCAGGAGGAGGTCAGGAAGGCTGATGGGCCCAGGGGCAGACCAGGGGCCTATAAAGACCCAGAGAATCAGGAGGCCATCTGGGGGCGGGGACAGACACTAACAAAGGGAGGGAGAAACAAAGGGACTTGCAGAGGGACAAGGACAGAGAGAGAAATGCACACAAGGACACATAGAACCTGAGACACCCAGACTGACAAAGAGGTAGCAATTTGGGGACAGAGAAGCACAGAAGAGTCCCCCGGGGAAGGAAGAGTGACCTTGAGAGACACACCCACAGGAACTCAGCAACAGTGCCTGGCACATAGTGGGCACTCAATAAATATCTTGTGCAATGAATGAACAGATGAAAACGCACACACTTGCGTGCACGCATGCTTGCACGCGCACACACACAGCAGCCAGAGGCACAATGGACTTGGCAGAGATAGACAGTGGGGGACAGTTGTGCAATGAATGAACAGATGAAAACGCACACACTTGCGTGCACGCATGCTTGCGCGCGCACACACACAGCAGCCAGAGGCACAATGGACTTGGCAGAGATAGACAGTGGGGGACAGCCAGACCCTTTTGCACGATGTACAGAGTGATCCTGGTGATAGAAGAACTATCTGGGGGCATGTGAGAGGGGGTGTTGGTCCCACACAATGGCTGGTCCAGCCAGGATAAGAATGGAAACAAAGCACGTGGCCCCACGGGGGACAGGTCTGTAGCTGCCATACCCCCAGGTGGGTAGACCTGCAAGAGAGGAGGGTCATACAGCATCTTCTGGCCAGGCGCCCCAGTAGCAGAGGAGCTCAGCCCCTCACCACATGCAGGCCCTGCCCACCTAGACCAACTGCTCCTCGATGTGCCTGAAGGGGTGGTGGGGAGGGGAAGGTCCCCTCAGGAATGTATCTACAAGTGCACAGCTTTGCCCATCTCCTGGGCACACCCAAGTCCAAGTACCAACAGAGTCCAGGTCAGCTGACTGTGGTCATAGGTTGGGGGCGAGGTTTCCCCAGTGGAGAAGGGGCCGGGCCCCCCCAGCTGGGATCAGTCTGTGAGCACCACCAACTCCCCGTCACTCTTGTCTTCGCCCTCTGAGTCCTCGTCCTCGCTGTACCGGTACATCTCACCATCGGCCACCGAGTGCCGGTCGTCTGTGCCCTCAGCCTCCTCCCTGAGGCTGCAGGTGTTGATGATGACGGGCATGTTGGGGTCCAGGCTCCGGGGGACATAGTGCTCCACCAGGGGCTGCGGCAGGGGCATGCCTGCCGCCCGAGGGTACAGGACATCTGAGGAGCTCATCTGCACCTGGCCAGCCTGCGGACTGAGGGGCGGAGAGGAGGCATGGTTACAGGGGCACCCTCACTTCCACCCTGCTCCCCTCCAAGCCTCCTCAGGGCATGTGCACACCACCCTGCACCCTCCCGATCCGTGTCTTATGCACCTTGGCCCTGCTCTGCTTTCTGATGGCCAAATTCACTGTCAGCTACAGCCCCGCAGACCCAGGACCATGGGTGTGTTCAACGGATAATATTCGTAGGGGACTGTGTGTGAATCCAATTTTTGGAAATTGTATATTTTTAACACGCCGGGGGATTTCCTGTTTAATGGAATCCCCTAGGGCCCTTGCTTTGGTCAAGTCAGGAATCTTTCTGTATGATGAATACTTTGATTTCTAGTACCTCTGAATTTGTACCGAGTTCTTCAGAAACGGGATTTACAGGCATGTTTCTCTAGGTACATGTGGCCGGTGCTCTACAGTCACTCATAGTCACATACTGTATCCTCAGCCACCAAGTGCTCACCACAGTCACGCACAGACATACACAAGCATCCCTGGGGTCACACAGGCAGGCCCAGCTGCACACAGACAAGGCCCATACACACATGCATTTGTATACTCACACACGGCTAGCAGACACACACACAGCACCCCTGGAATCGCGCACGGAGGTAAGCCACACACTGACCGACATGCACACGCAGTCTCTCAGCCGCCTGGGGAGGGTCTGCTCACGGGATCACGTAGCTCTGGCGGGCATCCTGGCGCCGGGTCCTCATCAGGGCCTTGTACTCGCCCACGCGCAGCCGCTTGCCCTCTACGATGCAGGTGCGCTTGGGCCGTGGCTTATACTTGTAGTCAGGATACTTCTCCAGGTGCTGCCGGCTCAGCCTCGCCTGTTCCTCGTAGTAGGGCTGCTTCTCCTGGTTGGTCATGGACTTCCAGCGGGAGCCTGACCCAGCCCCCATGGCAGGCAGTCAGTACTGGGCTCTGCCGACCACCCCAGACCCCTGCAGGCCCTAGCGTCCCCGAGAAGTTTCATTCCCCGGGTGGGTTAACAAGCTAGTACATGTGCAAGCACTTAGCAGGGGCCGGGCCCAATGTGGGTGCTCCTTGGTTGTTGAGCAAAGGAATGCATGAAGTTGGCATGTATGGGGTACCTAATTGCCAGTTTAAGACTCAGCACCCACCCACAGCCCAAACACCCCCAGCAGCTTCTGTCTGATTTGCAAAAACAGAAGAGCTGCCACAGCTCAGACAGGCTCCTTGCTTAGGACAAAATACCTGGTGTCTCAATTGACAAGAGTCCTGCATTGACTGGAGGAGCCTCAGTGTCAGAAACTGCCCCATTTGCCCTGCTCTACATCCCTCCTTGGCATGTAATTTAAAAACCCCAAGAATACCACCAGTCTCTACTGTTTTCTGCCAGAGTCAGCTCTAAGGGTCTCGAACAGATAAGGGAAAGATCAGAGGGGCTAAAGAATGTACACACACACACATGCACACACACACATTCCAGGAAGTCTTGAGGGCAGGTGCTACTGGTAGAGCCCTACAATGCTGCAAGATCCAGCTGTGCCCACATCCCCCTAACTCCTGCACCCCCATCAGATTCCACTGGAGTTCAACATGGCATGGAATATCACCAAGCAAGTCCCGAGCAGACCTAGTTCCCACTGGATAATAGCCTCTGGAACCCGTAGAGCCCCCAGAGAGCCCACTCACTGGCCCTTACCAAGAATCTTGCTGATGCTGGAGTTGTGCATGTCTGGAAAGGCTTGGAGGATCTTCCTCCGCTCATCCTTGGCCCACACCATGAAGGCGTTCATGGGCCTCTTGATGTGGCTGCTGTTCCGGGACTCAGGGAAGTGGCGGGAGCCTGGGGGACATGGGTGGAGTCAGCTGGGCAGCGTGTATGGGGTAAGGAGAGTTCTCCAAGGCCAGCAAAGAGACGTCCCCTACTACACCACTAGGAGGCACTGAGGAGGGTCCCACAGAAGCCAGCCCAGATTGAGCAAGGCCCAGGGTGCAGAGGAAACCAAAGTCCAGCAGCAAGTTAGCAGAGGCCCAAGACAGACCAGGGGCAGACACACAAGGAAACCAGAGCTATACAGGGCCCTTCAGAAGAGAGGGTGGAGGCCCCGCAGTCACAAGACGTGGGAAAGCAGATGCAGAGACAGAGCCACAGACACAGAGTGGGACAGCAGAGGCACATGCACCTGGAGGGGACCCAACACGCAGACCGCATGCAGAGGAGTCGGAGACAGACACGACCTGCCCCGCCCCGGCCTTGCAGGACACACAGGTGGGCCCTCCTGCCCATCAGCCCGGCGCCCTCACCGTCCATGTCGCAGCTCAGCATGGCTTCTTCCAGTGGGAGCACACAGCTCTCTTCCAGCCGCTCCTTGACTGGGGACGAGTCCAGGCTGATGAGGTCCTGGGGTTAACAGGGGTGACCTGTACATCAGTCCCTCTGCATCACCCGCTCCTCTCTTTGGTGGCCTCCTACTGCGTATCTTCCACCCCCAGCCACCATCTCTTCCTGCTCTCAGGTGTAGGGGAGTGGGGGCCCCTACCTTACGGAAGGGGGTGTTGGGAGAGCTTTCCAAGGCCCCGCTGTGGTTGTGCAGCAGCTGTCGAGCATCCTGGATGGCTTTGGTGACAGCGTCCCCTTCACCAAGAAAGCCTACAGGAGACGAGAGAGAAAGAGAAAGAAGGGGAGCTCAGGGTCAGCCCAGTTTGGTCCCAGACGCCGTCAGCCCCCGCCATGCCACTGCTATGAGCTGCCTGCGTCGGCGCTCCCTCCTGCCCCTCCACAGGGCATCCCTTACACTGGCGGTTGTGCAGTGCCAATAGGCTAGAACAAGAACAGCACCCCCTGGAGTTGTGCAACCCAGTGGCCTGAATCCCTGATGCTAGAGTGCCCATACGGATGTGATGGGGGAGAGGAGGAATTGCAGTGCCAATAGGCTAGAACAAGAACAGCACCCCCTGGAGTTGTGCAGCCCAGTGGCCTGAATCCCTGATGCTAGAGTGCCCATACGGATGTGATGGGGGAGAGGAGGAAGGGGACCTCTAAGGGCAGGTCTAACTCCTTGTTTTATAAAAACCAGATCCTAGAGAGGGGAAGGGACATGCCCAAGGTCACATCAAGCCTCCTTGGCTCTCCCCTGAGAAGAGGCTGATGGAAAAGTTGCAGGTGGCAGACAGCTTACCCAGAGGCAGGCTGGGGGGGCTGGACTGCAGGTCCCGCGTGGGGGCCCCGTGGCTGGGGGGGCGGGGTCCACAGCTGCTCATCTTCAGGCTGGGGGAGCTGGAGGTGTTGGGCAGCTCAGGAGCCTTGGGCTTGGCTGTGAGGTTCAGGGGCTGGGAGGGCTCCTGAGGGAGACCCGAAAGGTCAGAGGGCGAGGGACACCAAAGGAGACCCCCACAGAGGGACAGAGAAGACATACAGTGACAGAAAGAAGGACCAGACAGGAAAAGTAGAGACAGAAGGAGCAGGTGAAGAACAAGGGGCTCGCATTCCACACCCGCAGTCCCCGGGAGGGCAGCAGCTGTCATGTGGCCAGTGGGCAGAGGGCAGTACCTGCAGTGGGTGGTGGGTGGCCATGGCCCCAGGCCTCTTCACCACTGGTGCAGGGGGGCTGTGCAGGAGCTGCAGCGGATACTCCACTATGGAAAAGGCGGCAAGGAGAAAAGTCCTGGATGAGCACAGAACAGCAGACACCCTGCTTGACGAGGTCCCAGCACCACAGCGGGGGCAAAGGCTCAGAGCTGGCTCAGCTTGGTTCCAAACACTGGCCTCCCCAGCCCCAAAGCACTGCCAGGGACCTCCTGTCCCCTCGTGCCCCACTGTCCCTGTATGGTGATTGGCATTTTCACCCTGTTCCTGCCCTGCCCAACCTACTCTAAAGTTTCCCAGACCCTGTAGCTCCAACCCAATGGTGCAGTGAGAGGATATACCATCCCTTCATTCAAAGGATACTTACATTTTGCACCTACTGTATGCAGGGTACAAAGGTATCTGTTGTGTGGCATGGCTCATGTGAATTCTCTGACAATAATACAAAGTGTGTGGCACACAGTAGGTGCTCATCATTGTTGCATTTTACAGATAAAGAAACAGATCTTAGAAGTTAAGTGGGTGGCCCACAGAGCTACTGAATGGCAGCACCAGGATTTGAACCCAGGTCCTCCATGGTCCATCCTTTCCCTCCACATAGTACTCTCTCTTCTGCCTATCCTGTCTCACTCACCCTTAACCAGAACTAGGACAAAGGAGCCGACAGTGCAGGTGGAGAGATAAGCCACATGTTCAGATCACTGTGTGCATGGCAGGTGGTGATGGGGGCCGCACAGGTAGCTGACAGGGAACTCTGTCCCAGCCAGGCTTCCTGGGGGAGTGGACAGGTGAGCTCGTGCCTGCAGGACGGGCAGGATTTGGACAGGTGGAGGCGGGTCATGGAGTGTGAGAAGGAGTGGTAAGGGTGGGTTCCAAGGCCTGTGAATGCTGAGCTCGGGAGTCTGGACTCCACGCTGCAGGCAACAGGGCACCGGCTAAGGCTTGTGAGCTGGTGGGGGGCACTGTCAGTAGTCAGCTTTAGGAAAGGGTACCCGGCAGCTGACAGGGCCCCTGGTAGCTTGGATTCTGGAGCAAACAAAGCAGGAGGCTGCCTTGCCAGTCCCAGTATTCTGCAGCTTATTTCCTGCCTCGTTTGTACTGAAAGCACCCCGGGTCCCCTCCTCCAACCAGGCCCCTGCCCTCCTGGCCTCCCCAGCCCTGTTCCGCATTCACCTGGAGTTGCAACGGTTTTGTGCCCTCACTCTGTCCTCCCCCTTCAGCCTTTCCCCCTCTCAACTCCCCCAGCTAGCTGGAAACTTCCCTCAACATAGGGCCTGTCTCTGTCTGTTTGGGCTGCTAGGAAAAAAACCATAAACTGGGTAGCTTATAAACCACAGAAACTCATGTCTCCTAGTTCTGAAGGGGAATTTGCCCCAGAATGAATCGTACCTTGAGTCCCACCCATATCTAATTTAGGTGCTATTTAGATGAGACTCTGGACTCGAAGCTTGTGAGTTCACGCTGGAACAAGTCAGACTTTTGGGGCTACTGGGATGGAATGAATGTATTTTGCATATGTGAAGAACATGGATTTTGGGGGGCCAGAGGAAAAACGATATGTTCTGAATGTTTGTGTCCCCCAACATTCATATGTGGAATCCAACCCCCAAGGTGCTGGTATTAGGAGGTGGGGCCTTTGGGAGGTGATTAGGTCATGAGGGCGGAGCTCTTAAGAATGGGATAGTGCCCTGATAAAGAGGCCTGAGGGAGTCTGTGTACCCTTTCCACCCCTGTAGACACAGCTAGAAGGTGCCGTCTATGAACCAGGAAGAGGGCCCTCACCAGACACCAGACCTGCTAGCACCTTGATCTTGGGCTCCCCAGCCTCAAGAACAGTGAGCAATAAATGTCTGTTGTTTGAAAGCCACCCAGTTCGTGGT